GGGGTGATGGGATGCAGGGTTTGGGGTGTCTGGGGACCACGGAGGGGGTCACAGGGGCGTGGGGCAGAACTCAAGTTGAGCCTCGTCTGCTGTCGGGGTTTAACCTTCCAAAGGGGAAACTGAGGCGGGGAGCGGGGGCGGTGTTGGCTCCGTTTGGAGGCATTTTTGGATAGTTGGATTCAGGGAAGATATAAGGAAGGAATTCTCGGCTGTGAGGGTGGTGAGACCCTGGCACAGGTTGCCCAGAGAAGCTGTGGCTGCCCCTGGATTCCTGGAAGTGTCCAAGGCCAGGCTGGACAGGTCTTGGAGCAACCTGGTCTAGTGGAAGGTGTCCCTGCCCATGGCAGGGGGTGGAACTGGATGATCTTTAAGGTCCCTTCCAACCCAAACCATTCCCTGATTCTAAAGGATTGGTCTCGGAGCTCCTTCCCGACCCACCACCATGAGCTTTTTCCCAGTCAGGCACATTCAGCCTCCCCAATGCACCAGGAAAACCCTGCCGTCCAACCCCATTCCTGGTTAACGGGGAGGGACAAAACTGGAGCACGAGCTGTGCGGGGGCCCCCGGCTGCCACCCACCCCTTCCCCGCCCATAAAATAAACCACTCGGGGTCCTCAATAACCCCTTCCATCCCCACGTTTTGCCTCCCGCTGAAGACACGTGCTCGATGGACTCCGGCTGCCCGGACGAGGGCGGGGACGGGGCTCAGGAGGAGGCGGAGAAGAACCTGACGGTGCTGGACGGCTCGGCTGGAGATCTGCTCCTCAAGCTCATGCACTTGGCGAACCGGCAGCAGCAGCAGGGCAAGCACCCCGTCCTCTGAGCCAGGGCATGTGGGGCGACCCCCCCCACCCTCACCGACCCCCCCACCCCGGCACTGTACATACGAGACCCAATAAAAGTCCTCGTGCACTGTCGTGGCTTCGTCCTGGGCGCTGGGGATGGGTCACGGGGGCTCCAGGGGACGCGTCTGGGGATCAAGGATGGGGGGGGTTGTGGAGGGGTTTCATCCCCCTTCCCCAAATCCCCGAGGAGAACGGGTGGTTTGGCTCCTGTCTGCGGTGGTTTGGCTGGGCTGGGTGCGGGATTTGGCCTCGTTCTTGCAGCAGGAGCGCTCAGGCAGAGCTGGACTTTGGGATCTGGCCGTCAAGTCCCTCCCAGCACCCCCAGCAGCACCCAAGGGTGCTCAGCCTCCCAGCAACCCCAGCCCTGGGAGACTGGGGATGTCTGGGATGTGCCACCATCACGTTACCTCTCGGCCAAGTCCCTCTTTGGGGCAGATTCGGGGTCTTGTTGCCTTCAGGAACCAGCACATCATCTACTAGAAAATGATAAAAAGCAAGGAAAAGCACCCAAAACACCCCCAGAGCAGAAAGGTTTGAGCTCCCAGCTCCAAACACCCCCTCGGGCTGGTCTCACCTTTCCCCACCATCGCTCAGCAAACTGGTCCCCTCTGGACACTGACAGGCAGGATCAGTCTCCCCGTTATCCCACTGTCACCCCCTCAGATTTGGGGTGCTGTTATCCCAACCCCCTCCCCACCCTCTCCCAGGTCTCTTACCCTGCTCCGAGCTCTCTCCTGGCTGGGACTGGCCAGAGCACAGGGGACAGCTGGTCCTTTATAGCGTCCCCGAGGGAGGTGGCACCTCCGAGGAGGTGGAGCTCCCTGACACCGGCAGGATCCATCCTGCCAGCTCCCAGCACCGTGCAGGGGGTGCAGGATTGGGATCCATCCTGCCAGCTCCCAGCACCGTGCAGGGGGTGCAGGATTGATCCAGCCCCTGCTCCCTGCAGCCAGCATTTCATCCCAGCCCTGGGGATGTGGGCAACCCCAAATCACCCCAAAATCATTGGAAAAGGGGCCACACCAGCATGGACAGGGGGCTCCATGGTGAGATGAAGGAATTGGGCTGTTCAGCCCTGCCCTGGCACTCAGACTGTTCCCGGATGCGGGATGTGAACCCCAACATTCCTGAAGCACTGGGGACATGTGGCTGAGCCAGGATGATGCTCCAGCTGAGGGAAGCCTCAAAATCGGGGTGTTGAGTCCCTGAAAGCACCAGAGGCTGATAATTGGTGGGTTTTTTCCCCACTTGTCTTCCCAGTACACATCTTGTGGGGGTCTGGGAACCCCCGGAGCAGCCGTGGGGGCTCCAGGATGGCAATTCCCCCCCTCCACCTTGTGCCACAGCTGGAGCTGAGCTGCTGGGACAGCACACGGCAGGTGCTGAGCCCCATTTCCAACCCATTAACAGATTCCAGTGCCTGGCTTGTCCCCAGGGAGCAGGACTGACCCCGGGCGGGTGACGGGGACCCGGCTGCCCTGGCGCCGGACGCGCTAAGTGGCGGATTTGGAAGCAAAGCCAGAGGGACGGGAAAAGGTCACGGCTGTCGGGCTCTGGGCTGCCTGATTCCCAATTAAGCCAGCGCAGGGTAATGATCTCAATGGACAGTAAGTTTTGTCCACAGCAGGGAAATTTATTCAAGCTGGGAAAGCTCCTAATTGGGATAACGAAGGTGAGGGGCCGGGGCGAGCAGGACCCTGGGTGGTTGCGTCAGTCCTCAGTCTCATCCTCGGGGGGCCTTCGTGTGCTGATGGTGTGGTTCAGGGCACCACACCCCATCCCCACGTGCAGCTCCAAGGAGAAACAATGGGGAAGTTTGGGATTTCAGGTCTTTGCCCAGGAGGTCTGGTGTTTTCAAGCGGCTGTGGTGCTGTTGGGTGGGTGGGGATGGGCTGGGTGTCACCATCATCCCAGAGCGGGATGAGCCCAGTGCTGAACATCCCCCCCAAAGGCCAGGCAGGGGTGGGCGGACAGGACCAACCAACATTTCCCACCCCACATCTTGTGGATGATCCCAGAGGAGGATATGGGTTCGCTTTTTACCCACCTGAAGGGATTTGAAGCCAAGGGAAGCACATGCCCCTCTCACCTTTCTCCTGAGTGGACGCATCCCACCCACAGCTGCCTTCCTTCATCCCTACCCTCCCCACGCCAGAGGGGCTCCCAATAGGACACGGAGGGACACACCACAGCTCAGCAGGGCTGGTGGGGAAGGGCCCTGAGCCCCAAACTCCATCCACAGCCTCCGCACGTTCCCCCTGCAGCCGTCAGAATCGTCACCGAGGAGCAAACCAACACCTTGGCCTTGCCCTCACGTCCTTGACCTCTGGCTATTAACCGAGCCCTCCGGTGTGGGAAGCAATGCTTTGTGGTTTTTAAGGAGCACGGGTGACGCCGGTGCCCAGAATCCCTAAGTAGGAGCCGGGACTATAAATACACGGGCAGCGGTTGGGATGAGCATCCAAAAAACTCTCCCCGTCCCGCCGCCATCATGTCCTGCAAGGCTCTGGCCCTCTGCCTCCTGGGGCTCCTGGCTCTCTCCTCTGCTTGCTACATCCAGAACTGCCCCATCGGGGGCAAACGCGCCGTCATGGACATGGAAATCAGGAAGGTAGGTCCTGGAGGGATTGGAGCATCCCTAACCCCATCCTTCCCTTCTTTCCCAACCTTCTTCCCCCCTCCCCCGAGCAGTGCCTGCCCTGCGGCCCCCGGAACAAAGGCCACTGCTTCGGGCCCAACATCTGCTGCGGGGAGGAGCTGGGCTGTTACCTCGGCACCTCCGAGACCCTGCGCTGCCAGGAGGAAAACTTCCTGCCCACCCCCTGCGAGTCGGGACACAAACCCTGCGGCAGCGGGGGGAGCTGCGCCGCCCCCGGCATCTGCTGCAGCACCGGTGAGTCCTGGGAACTCCCGGGATTCCTCTCACGGGGTCCTCGCACACCTGGGAGGGAATTCAGGGTTATACAGGACAGTGGGAGAGGGGATGTCGCCCAAGGGGATCGTCTTGGTCCCATCCACGTGTCAGTTCATCGCCCCTAAAAGCCAGGGCCACCCTGCTCCGGGCAGATTTTCTCCCGACCCCAGGGAAGGGATATCAGACCCTTCAGGGAGGTTTTGGGACAGGAGGGAAGCAGACGGAAACCGAATTTTGGGGGCTGAGCAAGTGCGGGATTCCCTGGGGCCATGGCAGCACTCCTGTGGGGTACAGCAACCCATGGCCCTTCTTGCTTTTATGAGTTTTCCAAAAATCCCAACCTCCTCCCTAAATTAAACTACCAGAGATCCCACTACTAATCCCAGGAAACGCCAGGGCACACGGTGGGAGCATGAGCTCATTAAACCCCAGAACCACGGGGGCCCTGGGCACTGGTTTGGGGGGTCCCTGGGCGCTGGTTTGGGGGGTCTCCAAGGGCTGTTTCAGGGAATTCTGGGCGCTGGTTTGGGGGGTCTCCAAGGGCTGTTTCCGGGGGTCCCTGGGAGCTGGTTTGGGGGGTGCCTGGGGGCTGTTTCAGGGGGGACAGTTTGGGGTGTCTCTGGGGACTGTTTTGGGGGGTTCCTGGGGGCCACTTCACAGATCTGTGGGGACTGTTTTGGGGGATCTGGTTTCCCACCACACTCCCCCCTCTCTCCCCTCACAGAGGGCTGTGGGACTGACTCATCCTGTGACCAAGAGATGCTGTTTGTGTAGCCCACCTGGGACAGAACCTGCAGGATCCCATATCCATCCTGCTGTCCCAGCCTGGCCTTGGGCTGGGAACAGACGAGCTGAGAACTGTGACTCAGCCTAGAGTGATGAGCCTAACTAGAAATAAAACTTGTACAGAAAAACAACCCTAAAAGAAGTCTGTGGCTTTTCTGTTCTTGCCTGGTTTAGGTGCGGGCTCGTGAGGAGAGAAAAAGACATTTTTAGGAAAAGTGGAGGTAAAAAGTGAGGATTTCATGTCAATTATCTGAGGAAGGGAGGGCAGAGGGACCTGTGGTCAGTCAGCCTGGGCTCTGGCTGAACCTAAACCCAGCAGTTTTAGGGCAAAGCTGAGAGTCTGCAAGACCCCAACAACCCAGAACACCCAGAGTCATTAGAGTTTGATCCATGTCTTCAACCCCAGGTGATGAGTAAAATAAGGCTGAAGGTGGGAATAAGGAGACACCAAAAATTCCAGATCATCCAGACATATTTTCTCATTCAGCCACACCAAGGGATGGGCAAAGGAGGGTTCAAAGTGTGACCAGGGATGACAGGTCCCTCTAGCCCAGCATAAATGAGGAGGAACAATTAATTCTTTCACCCAACAACAAAAAAACAAGAGGGCCAATGTTTCCTAAAAATCCATTCAGCCCTCATTTCCCTTCGGAAGCATCCAGAGGGGCTGACAGCACGGAGCTGAGAGCCAAGATCTGCCTCCTGACTGCTGCTGTTTCTCTCCCCACACGCTGTGTGTGAAGGCAGGAGGGATCCAAACACGTGGGAGGTGGAATCACAGGCACAGCAACAGCCACACAGGGCTGGGCCAGGCAGCTGGAGCCTCCAACAAGCCCAAGTTTCCCCCTCACCCCCCTTCCCACCGGCGTTCACCCTTCGGAAGCAGCACAGCCAGACCCCGCAGCCTTTCTCCACCACTTCCGTGGTCAATTTATACATTAAAAAGAAGGACTCCAGGTCTTCTGGGGGGGAGGCTCTGGGCACAAAGCAGGCCAGGAGCCCCATCCTGGGGGTGCTACGACAGCACCGTGCGCTTGACGACCCGCCCGTCCTTGTCGATGGCGAAGTTGTAGTTGCGCGGGTTGTCCAGGCACTCCTCGATCCGCGCGTCCAGGTTCTCGGGGGTGATGAAGCTTTTGGCTTCCTCCTGAACCAAGGACAAGCATTATACCCCCTCAGGATTATCCCTAGGGATTATTCCGCCCCGTTCCCAGAGCTCTCACTCGGCCTCTTTCCCATCCACGCGCTGTCAGCGCCCCTGGAAAGCGCCAACACCTTGCTACCAGCTACACACCCTCCCAGCTACCAACTGGAAGATCTCTGGAAAACAAGCCCACGGTTTCCACGTGGCTCCCACGGGCTGCCAGCAAATCCCTCGCAGGGACTGCTGGCAGCTTGTCCCCCGGGAGGCACCAGCTGCTCTTACCTGCAGCTGGAGAACCTCCTTCTCCTTCTCCTTCATGAAAGCCTCCATTTTCCTGGCCTGCTTCTCCGCGACCTCCAACTTCCTCCTCTTCTCTTCCTCCGCTTCTTTCCTGAGTCTCTCCTCTCTGCCAGACAGAAAGGAAAACAAAAACCTGATGGATGAGGTGACAGTCCCATCCTCAGGAGAGCAGGAAGCTGCCCAGAGCCCCTTAACTTGCCCCTCAGCCTCAAGAGGCGCAGGAACCGCTGCGTTGGCATATTTATTAAAAAAGGTCACAATTTAGGTCAAGGGTCTTCATAAAAATTAAGCCTGGCTTAATTAAACTGAGTTTAGATCTGCACAGGCAGAAGCCAAAGCCATGCAGGGCAGTGGATCCCGCTGACCTGCATGCCCGCTGCCGGGCGTTCTCCTCGTCATTCCAGGCCATCAGGCGCCGGTGCTCCTCCAGCAGCTCCGCGGAGTTCTCCCCGCCCAGACGCTCCTCCCGCTTCTTCTGCAGCACCTCGGCCCTGAACTCAGCCCTGCAGGGAGGAGGGGAGGGCACTGAGCCCCTGCCCGCGGCTGGGAGTACTGGGGGTTCTCCCAGACCTGCCCCACAGCAGAGCCAGCCCCACCACCCTGTCCCACAGCGGTCCCAGTCCCACCACCCTGACTCTCTCCTGCCCTACACTGGTCCCAATCCCACTACCACGTCCTTTTCCTACCCCAGAGTATCCTGAGTCTATTTGCCTCTGTTCCAAAGTAGCCCAGATCCCCCAACCCACTCCTGCCCCACAACCTGCCCTCTCCCTCACAGCTGCTCCAAATGGCCACAATCCCAACCCTCCCCTGCCCCACAACAACCCCCGAGCTCCATACCCAGCCCCCTGCCCCATACCCAGGGCCACAGCCAGACCCCCAACCCTTCCCTGCCCCAAAGCAACTCCATATCCCCCTGCCCACTCCCCTGCCCTTACAGCCAGTCCCACTGTCCAGTCAGCTCTTCAACCCTACAGATGTCCCATACCCAGCCCCCTGCCCCAAATCCAGC